CGCTTGGGTACCGGTGGCTTCGGTGCCCCCCTCCGGGCTCGCTGTTATCGCGCTGAACCTTCTCAGCGTTTGTTTTGGGAGCCCCACGGGTGGCACAGGGAGATGCCGTGCTCGGGTGGTACAAAAACGGGTTCTGTACTTGTAAGGAAGAGGTAAAATGTGTGGTTAAGGCTTCCTCCCAAATGGGCAGAGAAGTAATACTAACTTTGAAAACCAATAGAGCATTGTCCATTGAAAGACTTCTAAAAAGAAGACCCAAGCACCCATTTCAAAGTAGTAAAAGAACGTGCAGCTGAATTTTTAAAAAAAGTTTGCTTCTATTTAAAGCAATCAGAATTAGAGATGATGAAGGGGGAAATGCAAAGACATCAAAGAAAGAGATCTTAAAAGAGTTTAAGTTGTTAGGGAAAATAAAATGTTGGGTGTTTAATGCCCTGGTTGACAAAGGTTTGCACTCACCTTGATGTCAGGACACTGGGAACAGAGGTACATGCTCAAGTACCTGAGGGATGATTGAAGGGAGAATGAGGTCAGGCTCTTCTCCAAGGTGGCCGGTAACAGGATGAGGGGTTATGGGTGTAAGTTGAAATGTGGGAAGTTTCACCTCCAAATGAGGAAAAACTTATTTCCTGTGAGGGTGACAGAGCCCCAGAACAGGCTGCACAGAGAGGTTGTGGAGCCTCCTTCTCTAGAGATCTTCAAACCCTGCTTGGATGCCACCCTCTGCCACGTGCTCTAGGCCTCCCTGCTGGAGCAGGGAGGTTGGACTAGATGATCTCTAGAGGTCCCTTCCAACCTTAACACATTCTGTGATTAGAAAGACTAACCACGGCAAAGGATGGAGACAGAGTATGAGCAGACTCACAGCACCCAATGGAAATGACTGGCTGAGAAATTCAGGAGCTAGACCCTGTGACTTGGATGAACCTTTAGGGTTTTTTGTCTACTTCTTATTGATAAGTCATTGTGGGCTTTGCTTTTGCCCGTTCCCCTCTCATCCTGTCTGGACTAGTAAAGGGAAAAAGAAAAATTTCTTTAGAAAGATCTGTCTATTGTTTTTCCATTTCTTTCTTTAGTGCCTTGTCAACTCCTGTTTTTGTTGTTGTTTGCTTATTTTTCCAAAAAAAAAAAATCTGGAGATAAATCATAAGTTTCTCTGACAAATTTCTGTCTAGAAAAAGCACAGGTTTGGCTGTACATTCATTCTGTGAGCTGGCATGATAAACGAGGATTGCTGCACTAGTGGACATTTGGAAGGCTTAATTTGCAAGTGCATGGTCTAGAAATTCTTGTAATGATTTGTTGGATAGAAGGGTAAATCACCAGGAAGTGCAGAAGGAAGACAGTTTGCAAATTGATTTTTCAAATTCTGTTTTTAAATACAACTTTTAAAATGTTGCCATTGTGCTTAGAAAAAAATCCATTTTTGAGAATATATAAACTGCATTAAATTTTGATGTCTGAAAGTTTATAATATGTAATTTCTCTCCCTTTTTGCAGAAAAGATCAAGTGAGCAGTTTTCATTGAACATAAAAATACCCTGTATTCTAAGAATTAAAGCATTTGCTGTTTTCTGACAGTGGAGAAGATAAAGATATTTTGGGGCAGAGGAGTATTCTTTAAGTTTTTTGAACATTTTCTATCTAGTGCTACAATACTCCTGCACAACTTACTGAATTTCCACAGGAGCACTGAGGAAAGCATTTATCTGTCTTCTCAGTAAATCGTAATGTGCGTGTGTGGTTTTCGTTGTTGTTTTGTTTTTCAAAAGTCACATGGCTAGTACATATTTCTGCATTTTTTTAGACCTTGAAGGAAGTTTTTCTCATGTGATAAATAGGAAAGCTCTTCTGGTGCCAGAGAAGTCATTTTAAAACAGTTCTTCCCCTTTTAAAATTAAATTAGTTCATTTGCAAAGATCATGTATAAATGACAGTGTGTTTTTTTCACTAATAATACTGATGAAATATTGTTCTTACATAACAAACTTATTCATTTCAGTAACCTGCATTTCTACTGTTTTTCAGAATCCTGATATGAAACAAGCCTGTAATGTTTTTATCCTGTGGAGAATTCTCTGCTGTAGAACAGCAACAGTAGTTTTGGGTCACTCGGTCTCTGTTAGCAGCAGTTTGGGGATGATGAGAACAATAGCATGTTCCCCACTACTCCTCCAGTAACCAGAATGTGTTGTTGACTTTTAGCCTGAATTTTTTGTAGCAGGACCTTATTGTAAATATGTTGCGAGTGAACACAGGAGAACTGTTAGAGTAGTAGTTGCAGCAGCTGTGGAGAGTTGGCCTTTGCTGTTGCTTCTGTGATATCCCCAGTCTGTGCTATGTCTGAGTGAATTTTCAGTTCTCATGTTGGTGTATTTATCTCGCTGGCAGCTGGTCATTCCTCTGGAGTGCTGCCTACAGGCATTCTCCTTTCAGAATGCAGATTGCTTCTCTTGTTAAAATTGAATTGTTAGAGTATGTGTAGCAAAGCTTTAATGCAGCAGGTGATCTCATAGAATTACAGAATCAACAGCATATGGTCTGCAGCCTTCCTGAAATGTGAGCCCTTACAGAAGTTAGGGAAGTTTGAATGTTGCTTTAATCAGTCCCTTTACCGTGTTTTTGAAAACTTTTGCCCTAACTAAAGGGAAGTTCAGGAATAGGCAGAACAGTCCTTTTATTCCTGAGCTCTTCAAACAAGATTAAATGATGACGTATATCTATGTTGCAGTCAAAATTGCAACTGAAATACATCTAGGTGTGTTCGTTCCAGCTTTAATCTGGCTGGCAGTGAAGGTAAAATCAGTGTGTGTGTGTGTTTGTTTTCTCTCTCCAGTTTAGACTGTACAAAACTACTGGCATTGCACTCCTTTGTTGCTTGGCTAACTATAGTACTGTTGCTACTTAGGCCAGCTGTATTTATACATGCTGTAGTTTGTGAAACAGTCCAACCACAAAAATAGAAGAATTTTGCCCTGAGTACATGGAAAAAGATTTTTGCAACTTTGTTATTCCTGTGATGCCTAATATTGGAAGGGTCAAAGGCTGCCCCTAGAGGTTTAATTTTAAGAGCAACGTGTATTTGAAAGCTTGGTCCTTGAGATGTCTTGTGGCTTTTGTCATGGATGGCTTTAATCATAGCTTGAAATGTCTGGTTTCCTAGACAAGCAAATCTTTCATCCTACTTTACTTTCTTAATAGTTCCTGAGAGACTTTTACAGATTGGCAGAAGCCTCAAAGATACTTGGCATTCTCAAGTTTGGTGGGAAGTGGTAACTGGCTGGAAGCTAGAGGAGTCCTGTGCAGTAGCTATTGGCACGCGTGCAGCCTGGCACCTGCAGCGTTAACATCACTCTCTTCTAATCCAGAAGCTGCAGAAAATGGGATTATTCTAGTTATGTGAGGCAGAATGTGCCCCTGCCTGCTCCTTTCCATCCTCCTGGGGTTACTGCAGTGCTCATGAAGGGATAGGAGATAAGGAAATTTTGCTTTCCCTTTTTATCTGTTCACAAAATTCTCTTATGTTAAGACATGCTGCCTGTAAGTGTACTTGATACAAGCTTTCATTGCCAGTACACTTGTGTCTCTCTATTTGTTCTTGAAATAATTGGAGTCTATTAACACCTCCTTGAATTGTGTAATTGGATGATTTTAAGTAGTTGTAAAATATGCTGTGAAGTTCTTCTATGAATTTAAAATTTCTATAGATTGGATATTCAGTTTTTTCTGTAGTTACTTACATGAGTTTTTTGTGGTACTGTGTTTTGTTAAATACCAAGTTGTGCTTTTTTTTTTGTTGTTGTTTTTCTCCAGAGATTGGAATGGGATTGACGGGCTTTGGAGTTTTTTTTCTTTTCTTTGGAATGATCCTCTTCTTTGACAAAGCACTGTTGGCTATTGGAAATGTAAGTACCTGCTGTTCAGTTTTAGATTCTGGATTGTTTAGGATGAAGTGTATGAAATATTTAAGAATACATATATAAAAGCAAATTTAAGCTGTGTCATAGAAGAAGTCAGTAGCGGTTTGGTATAAAGGAAGAGCTCGGTGATTTGAGTGAACCATTCTTCCTGAAGAAGGTTGGAGCAGTTCACATCAAGATAAATATAATACCTTTAGGTCAAGCCTGAAGCAGCAGCTGTTCTGCAGTTGTTACACTGCTGCAAATAAGTTCTTAAAATTGGCTCTCATTAGTGATGCTTTTTTCTCTGCTCTAGTAAGATAAATCTGATAATTTGAGTATCTATATCTATTTGGATAAGAGCACTAGAGCTGTCTGTACACTCTTAAATGTAGTCATGCTCTTTATGAAGAAAGAAGCATGAATTCTTCATAATCAAGGTTTTAGATCCATTCATCCTTCATAATAGACAACTTCAGTATCTTCAGTGTATACCAAATTCAATCCTCACTCAGAGCGGGATAAAAATAAATCTTAGTTCTGGTACACAAAATCTATAAGGAAAATAAAGGTAAAACTGTATATTTTTAAATTGGACAGCTTTGCACCTCTACTGCTTCACCAGCCAGCCAAAAAGCAGAGCCTGCTAGAAGTTTGCAGCCATGTTGCTGTCACCAAAGTATCTGTTGGCAGAGATGAATTTTGTTCTTTGGCAGCAGAACGTGATACTGAGAGTCACTGAAGGAAAATCCCAAACGGATATTTGAATTTGGGTGCACTGCTTGAAGCAGTGTTCTGAGCCATCAATAAAATGTATAGAGAGAGTGGAGGAAAGGGGGAGAGCGATGCACTTCAGGGGCAACAAAGAAAGCAGAATGTAATTGCGGGGGAGGGGGGAGCAATGAAAGGCTACCCTGTAACCAGGGATAATGGGGGAAAGATACTGTGTCCTTACAGAAACTAAAGCAGTATATTATTTAATAACATGGAAGTTTTATGTGTTTATTTTGAATCACATGTGAAATCCTTTCCCTTTTCAGCAGAAATGGTGCCCAATTGTGCACCTAGAGGGCGGAGTGATTACAACTCCTGTAGCTGAAGGATACTTAGAGTAGTTTCAACTAGCATGCACCAACTTGATGTACAGTTGATGACCCACTGTGTTCAGCCTCTAGTGGAACTGGTGATCACTGTAACTAGAAATGTAACAACACAGATTAAGAAAATATGTATACAGGGACAATGAACTCATAATGTTCTTGAGGTCTTTTTTCTTTTTTCCCCAGTTATTCTTAAACATTGTGCACTAGATCAGTGCCAACTATGTATATTTCCATGCTACAGAGTAGAATGTGTCAAGTCTTTTTTTTCCATTCCTAGAAGCCTTAACGTGTTGATACTAAGCTTCGGCTCTGCCTGAAGACAGTGGCAGTGCTTATGTTCCAGGACAGATGAGTGTTGTCACCAGGCCTTCAGACATGCCTGTGCTTGTCAGGCAACAGCCCGCAGTTACGGGTTCTGTTTTCAAAGCAGATGCAAAGCAGTGAGGAGGCTTTTGAATTAGCTACAAATGCTCTAAGCTGGACACTATAAAAGAAAATAACTACTGAATTCCTCCTTGCCATCAGTCTTGGTATTAAAAGAAGCTATGCAAGAAATAAAATCTGATATTGAAGAATCACTATATATGTATTTATGCTTTACATCCTAAATTTAGAAATATAATTAGTTATTTTCTTTGGTTGCTTTTTGTCTCTTCTAGGTTTTATTTGTGGCTGGCTTGGCTTTTGTTATCGGTTTAGAAAGAACATTTAGATTCTTCTTCCAAAAACACAAAATGAAAGCAACGGGCTTTTTCCTGGGTGGTGTGCTCATAGTTCTCATTGGTTGGCCTTTGATAGGAATGATCCTTGAAATTTATGGGTTCTTCCTATTATTCAGGTAAGATTTGTTTCAAAGTAGGTTTTTGTATTGGTGTGTTTAGGAATAATTGTTTTTATCTAGTTTTGCAATATGACAGCTGGCAAAATAGGAAATGGTAAATGTTCAGTTTAATAACTATTATATAAAACTATAGATTTATATACGCAAGAGGTGAAAATCTCTTCAAAGTGTGTGAGGCAAGTATAAATCTGATTTTCGATGATGTATACATCTAACCAAAATAACTGTAAAGCTTCAGAATATCTGGGAACCCAAACTGTTAGCAGTGCAAAGTTTAAATATTACCTCATAGAAAGGCAACTTAAATACTTATATGCTTTGTTCAGGAAGAGCTGCGCTTCAATAAATGAGGCGAAACACTACCTATGTTCTGTGTAGGACAACAAAAACAAACTAAAACAGGTTTCTGTAATGTTTCATTTTCTCATGCCCTTATATATGTAATATATGAGATATTGCTTATGAATGTAGTTAAATATAGCAAGTTAAGTATTTTAAAAAAATCCTATGAGCAGCATTAGTGATGCATGTTATCTGTTACAATAGGTCACTGCTTTTGCCACTAATGATGAATGAATTTGATGTGGGACAACCTATATATTGATATATACTTATTGAAAAGAAAGCAGGAAATACGCTAATATGTTTTTTAGTGGTTTTTGAACTTCCAACCAGATGAACACTATTCCATTTAAATTCTCATTATTCTAAGACTCACTAATTTTTTTCAGTATTCAGCTGCTGAAAAAAGTAGGTTTTCCTAATCAAAATATTGCTTTCATCACTTCTGTCTCTCAAAAATTGAAAAATTAAATGCTAAGTTTTTTATTTATTTTCCAAAAGTGTTCATCTTAACTTGATTCCTGCAGAAGACATGGTGAGACTTCAAAAAATTCATCTTGCAGTTGCAATTTTGTTGTTTATTTAAGTGCAATCCATGTGATTACAAATATTTTTTTTCAGATGCATCTGGCCTAAGTGGAAGAGAGTAACAATTATTATCCCTCAGTGGTTTAAATCTAGACTGATTTTCCTCATCCTGTCTTTAACTTGCTGCCAGACTATTTCCCATCGGAGGGAAATCTGATCTTGTCCCGTCTCCTTTGCAATACTTTCACATGCCTAGATTGCATTTACTGGGGGATGCTGTTATGGGACAGTATTTCTCACTATGCTTGAAAATGCTTTTGGAGCCTCCCTCAGATTACAGGGATCTGAAGTTATGGCTGAAAATATTGTTCCACCTATTGTGACTGTTCAGAAGTTTTTGTCCACACAAATTTTTAGTTGGATACGAGTGGCTTGTATCCAACTCTATCCTGCATCACAATTTACTGGACTACTAAGAAGATCCAGTCTTTAAGAAAAATTCCAGGGGGGAAAAGGGTTGTTTTGATATTATGTGGCAAATAGTCATCATCTCTTAGTGCAGGTGAGAAACTGGTAAATTGTGCAGTTTCAGTGTTCACATGTGGCTCTGATTCTCTTGCATGTTAATCCTTATCCTGTACAGGGGATCTGTAGCTCCACAAGAGGTGGTGCTGAGTACTAGCACCAGCTGAACTGCAGTTCATTGCAGAAGGCTGAGATGCTTCCACAGGGGCTTCTCATTTCTGCTGCAGAAACGAGGTGGACAGTGCTGGGGGGCTAGACCATAGGAGCTGTCCCAGGAAACATCCCCTGGTTCATGATTCAGACTTTTCACTTTCTGTGAACTTGTCAAATAAGCTAATAGATACTTTTTTAAATTAAGTAAGCAAAATAAAGCACAGGAGTTATTTGGCTTCAGGGAGAATTAATTGCAATTCATTTCAGTGATTTTTACATTGGATATTGTAACATTGTCCTTCCCATAACACAGAATCAAAGGAGCTCAAATATCCATGTCCCAGGTGTCTATCATAACTAGTGTTTAAGCATGAAAAGATTTTTCTTTTTTTTTAATCTTAATATCTATGCGAATACTGGAAAATGAGATTGGAAATGTTAATTTTGTTGACTAGGTTGAATATTAATTCCTTAGTGGTCAACTTTCCCCTAGGGTTGCCAATTATGGAAAAAAATCAGGTCTACTTGAAAATATGCTTTTTTCTGTTCTTCTTTGAATGTTTATTCATATATTTGGTAAATATACTTTGCTTCCAGTAAGCTACAGTATTTTTAGTGTAATCTTTGTTTTAAAAATCTCTTCAACTCATATGAACATGAGAACTGTTTAATTCTAAACTTATACAATCTTCCACTGTCTTTCTTCCAGGGGGTTCTTTCCTGTGGTGGTTGGCTTTATTAGAAGAGTTCCAGTCCTCGGCTATCTCTTAAATTTGCCTGGTATAAGCTCGGTAAGTGTTCAGTACTAAATGCCAAATTTGAAACTATCACTGTTTTAACCCATTCTAATGGGTGCAGTAGTAGAAATACTTCAGAAATAACACAAATGCAACTTTAGAGCAGTGACACTGAATACATTCTTGCAGAGTGCTTGCACCATGTGGTTCTTGTTAATTCCAGTGGGGAGATCCTTGAATGTAAAGGCCCTGAAAGGAAACCTTTGCAGAAGCTGCCTCTGCTTCAGTGCTGTCAAGCAAAGGGGCCCTGCACAGTGATTTGGAAAGCTGAATGTCTGCTGCTTGCTTCACTGTTGGGCTTAAAAGACCACGGGTGATTCTTGCCACCTTTCTGTTCTTCTGATGTCTATAAAATGAGGAAGGACACTGATCTGCGTTGTGGAGCACTGTGATATATTGGAACAAAATGGCCTAGAAGAGCAAAGAATTAAGTGTTGCAGCCTGTATCGGGAATTCAGAAATCCTCATGATGCATAATCCATTATCAAGTGCAATATTTATTAGGGTCCACTGCACCAAACTAGATATTGCTATTTATTAAACTCTCATTTTTCAAATGCTGTTTTCTGCTTTCTTAACCAAATAGCCAGGAAATTGAAGAAAATTTAAAGGTGCTAGGAAGATGATAATCTAGGATCTTTGGTCAACTACTTTTACTGTGCTAATTTCTGTATGTACTTTAACGCAAGAGTTTTTACCCTTGATCTTGTAAGCTACAGATTAATGACTATTACATGAAAATTACTGGAGGGTATAACTGAGTTGTATACACTTTGCTTTGCTTTTTTTTTTTTTAATTGGTGTTCAAGATGATCTGTTCCAGTCTTACCGTTTGAGCCGTGTTCTGGCTTTCAAATCCTGATCAATTGAATGTTTTGCTTGTCAATTGATCTTACCTACACACATTTAATTTGACCATAATGGGGTTAAATCTTGCTTTAAAAAGATAATTGTTAATGTTTTATTCAAAGCCTACGTAGGCTCAGAAGAGAATCCACAGTAATGGTCAGTTGAAATATCTTACTTGGTCTACTAATGCATGTGTGGCTGACACTGTATCGTTTTGTTTTTATCATTAAGCTAGCAGTATTCCTGGCATTCTTCTATTTCCTTTTCCATTCTGTTGCATTTTCATGTTGCGCTGTTAATGTCTATATGAGAAAACATGTCATGCAGAAACACGGTTGCAATGTAAGATTTTTAACTTTCACAAACTTAAATTTCATGAGACCTCGGTGAGTACTACTTGATTCCCATTTTCAGTCACATACTAACTGTGCACAAGTAGCAAGCTATCTTTGAGAGTAATTTCATGGTACATAAGTCATGCAACTTTGAACTTTTTCTCTCCTTTTCCACAGCTTGTAGACAAAGTTGGAGAAAGCAACAACATGGTATAATGACAAGAGGGCAGAAGACTGATTCTAAACTTATTGTATTATTTATAAAAATCGTTTTGAGGAATACTCGACACAGATTGTTGTGTACAAAGGAAAAACTTGTAACATTCTTTACATAACAGTTTAAAATGTATAGTTGACAATATACATTAGAAAAGAAGCTCAGCAAGTGTGCTTCTAGGAAAAGTAACTCCACAGTTCAGGAAATAAACTGAAGAGATGAAAGTCGTGGAATAACCCATGTTACAACTGTTCAAGACTATTTTGTTGTTTTTTGGAGAATGTGCTACATGCAAGGAGCCCTTGTGGAATTAATGGTGCCTGTAGTTTTCCTCCTTATTTTGAAGGTGCAGTAGAACAAACAGGCCTGTCCTTTTTAAGGGTGACCCCAACTTATCCAACTCTCTGCTCGCTAACCTCAGATTGCAAAATACAAAAAAAAAAAAAAAAAACTTCTTGTGTAACAAGAGATGCGTATTTGCATGAAAGTTAAGGTGACTGTTCATCTTTAATCATATTATGACAAAAAAAGAAATCCCACATGGTTCTGTTGCAAACCTTTTTTGTAAATATGAGGCTGAAATAAAACATTGTTATCTTAATGTTTCAAAGCCAAATGTAAGTTGATTGTATTTGCTTTCCATTCTGGAATCTGCATAATGTCAGTCTGAAATGCTGGTTCTGAACATGCAGAGTGCAATGAGGAGGTCTGGAGACTGACTTACACTCCTTCCAGTTTGTTCTCCTTACTTCATACATGAACATCCTGATGAGAACATAGCCGTTATCACTAACAGGAAAACTTTGTGGAATATGTTTAGTTCAAAAAAAAAAAAGCATTTGGCTAAGGTGCTGACATGGACCCTGTGAAACGTATCTCATCAAAATATGAACTTTTGTTTTAAAATCGTTTAGAGCTAAGGTTTCCTTGTTTACCCTGGAACTACAAATTGAAGATTTTATTTTTTACAGTAATAAAATGAAAACATAAAATTCTGTGTATGTGAGTCTCTGGGAAGAAAACTGATCTAACTGGTTAACCGAAGTGCCAATCTTGGTATCTGGTTTATAACTTGTTCCCTGGATTATCTTCAAATAACTTACTGGTTCTGTTGGTCATAACTTTTATCATCACCTTTGCTGTTACAGAGGTTCTTGGCTAACCTGAATAAGGTACAAACCTAAATTAAATGTCCTCCTACTAGTGCAAAGGTCCCACTTTTGCTTTTATTGGTATACTGAACATCATGCACTTTCAATGGGCTTAGATACATAGTGTCTTCCCCTAACAAGAAGGGATCAGTAAGTAAATGGTATTTGTGTAGCCATTGACTTTGTTAAACTTTTTTTCCTTTCTCTCAAATATATGCTAAGGCTCCCTGAAATGCAATGGTAGTTTCTCAAGTAGCTACATTGTCTTAACGTGTCTAATGACTGGAGTTGTTTTTGTTCTTTAGAAGGGTTGGCAGTTATTTTTTGTTACAGAACTTAAAATTTTTATTTTCCAAACTAACTACTAAAGTAAGGAGAATTCTTATGTAACAACCACTTTGGAAATTACTACAAAGTTTGTTTGTATGTGTGATTAGTTTTTATTGTTCTGGGTTTTTTGTTACAACTGTAATAATAGCCGTAATATACTGTTTCCAACTTTCACATTTAATCTGCTTCTTAAATAGTCTTAGAAAGATTCAGTCATAAAAGCACGTCACAATACCTATTTATAATGAGTATCTGAAAAATCAGTGTTTTGCTTTTATAAATGACAAAAAAATCAGTTATCTTTGCCTGATGTCATGTATTATAGGTTATAGACAGGAATAAATATGACTTGTGGCTCCTACCTCAAGAGATGAACCAATGTTGGCTGCCCCTATGCCTCTGTGATCTGTTAAATAACTGCAGGGTGACACTGTGACTGTTGAGCAAAATCATCTTGATAGCTTCGGTAGAACACTAATCTGTACTGTGGGAATCAAGCGCTATTTCAGGAAGACAGTGTTCATCACTCCCAATATATACTGGCTACCTGTAGACTCTCATTCTTGGGATTTTATGGTTTTTTTGAGAAGTAATCTAATGGGAAAAATGGATTGTACCATGTGAATATGGAGTGCTGATTTAATGCAAATTGTTTGGCAAGCTGAAGTACCTTCCTTGACAAGAACTCTAATATCTTTCAGAGAGAGACTATGAATGTGTTGCTGTATATTACATTTTTATCCCTTTGGAATTTTGAGATGGGGGTGGTTCATCTCGCTTTTACTTGCTTACTGTTTAAATTAAAAGTCAATTTTTGTCAGATATGAACTGTTGTGAAAAGTGTCCATGGGAACAAAACTGTGTGAATTTAGCATGGTCTTCATCCCTCCAAGTAACATAGATTGTCTTTGAGACAGTTTTGCCAAGCTAAATATGGGTGGCAGCAAAGGTCAAAACTACTTAGCCTTAAAGTGTTTCTGTCATTACAGAAATACCTTTAACAGAAACATGCTTGGAACATTTCCCCTTTCAAATGTAACTTAGAAAAATCAAAGATGAATCTTATCCTGAGCAAATGAATACTGTAAATATACTTGTCATACCTTGAATAAATGGATACCTTTTTCTATGATTTGTCTCTGTATTTTTTATTGTATATTTTAAGAATGTTTTAGTAAGTGTCCCCTTCAACAACTAAGGAGGGCATGCATTTAGTGCTTTGGTCTTTTGTGCTTTTGTTCCTCCTGTAGTCAATAACATTTCACACCAGTCTTAAAGGGCAAGGTTGCCCTCTTACAATGAGCCTTATTTTGCACAAGCACTGCCCTTTATTTTTTTGTATGTATCTGTTCATGATGGGGTGTCATGTTGTTTCAAGAAGCAAACATTTTCATGCAGAGCTGCCTGTGGATTAGGGCATTTTCAGTTGAAAAACAAAGCTTAAGTTGCTTGGCTTTGTTTCTGATCTTACTGTGTGACCCTAGGCCCCTTCAACTTCAGTACTTCGGTCAAAAACTGTTTCACCAGGACAAGAGCTAGGAAAGCAGTCTTGTTCTCAGCTGGGTACTCAGATTGTAACTTCAAACAAAACTTGGAGATTAGGGTAGATAAGAAATGGTTTCTTAGTTAAACACTTTCTCCCCATTGCTCTTTCACACATGTGGAGAGGCAGTAGCCCTGAAACTCTAGGAGGAAATAAGGTACATGCCTAGAAATTAGTATGGGTTCTGGTCCCTGTGCATTCAGTTTAGTTCTGAGATAAGTGTGACTCCCGTATCCTAGAGGGTGGCCTGATGAGCAGACTCACTGGTGTGTAGTGATCAAGCCTTTGTCCCCTGAGATTTTAGGTTTTTTCCAGGAGTAGGAGAGCAAAGCAGCAATTTTATTTTCTTGATGTGTTATATTAGTTAATGCCCTTAAAAATCCATTCTAACTGAAGACAAGTTTATTTTGACAGACTCCCAACTAATTTTACTAAAGCTGATACTATCCCAACACTTGCAAAGAGTTAGTACTTTCTGATTTATAAAGAAAAAAATCTAGCTATGTCTAGTTATATTTGTTACAGTGTGAGGTATAATGTGAATCTGTGTATGGTTTGTGGCCAGCTACCTTCAGTGAATCGTTGCTGCTTATCAACCAAGGATACTTTGACCTTGTTGTGCTCCTGTGTTCATCTCTGGCTGCCGCACGCTAGGTTCTTTTTGCTGCTACTTCTACCCTTCAGATGGCCGATTCTAAAATGCCATTACCAAACCAACTTACCCAGCACAGCTTGGCCTCTGTGGCCCTGCTTCGTCCTAAACTTTACACCTCTTGTTAGCCTTGGTCCGTTAAAGCATCTTTTAGAAGACTTGCATCTCATTCTTTGTCCAACAAAAGATTCTCCAGCTGCAGTAATCCCTTGCCAAGCTTAATTTCAGCACATTTATTATATACTAAAGAATTTTAAATACATGAAGAATTACAGGAAAAATGACAGGACTAACTAGGAGCCATATAGGATGGCATTTATTCTCTCAAACTGACTTGCTGTTACCATTTATCATTCGAGGTATTTATCAAAGCTTGTTTACACCCATCATCAAGGCATTTAATTTTTCTGCGGAAGTAATGCAGTGCGTATTTGGAGAGGTATTTGCTGAAAAACATTTGCTTTCCTGTGTGCTTTCAGGAGATAACCCCATGGTTATCTCAATGACCCCATGACTCAATGACCAAATTAACCCAGTGACCTCAGTGCAGGCTTGAAAGAGTCAGATAGTGGCTGCGAGAGACACTCACGGTGCATAGGGGGTTAAACAGAATAGGCAGCTAAAGGATTTACACCCAAGCTGCATGGGGAGCCTCAGGAGCATGAGGAGAGGAGGTTCAGGCAGGACTCAACCTGTTGTTCCTAAGGGCCCTTTAAATTAACTAGAATTATATCCTTGCCTCAGCTGCACTGTCCGCGAGGCACCTGCACATCACTGATGAAAGGAAAGGTGCCTGCCTGGCCCCAGTGGGAATTTGGTAGCAGTGACCCTGCTACCTTGTGCTCTGACAGGCACTGACTCCTTGCCAGATCTTCCACGGTTTTCCTTACTCCAGACAGCGAGGTGGCATCGGTGCCCCCCAGGCTTGGGCAGGGTCAGAAGTGCCTTCTGGGTATTAGCCTTACTCAACAGCTAAGGTGTACCAGGGTCTAAATCACAGTGAGTGTGCCTCTCTCTAGATATATATGGTAAATTACAATACATATGCACACAAAACTGATCAGCCCAGAAGACCAGGAGCATTTCCCCGTAGTCCTAAATTCGAGAGCCATGAGGACAGCCACTCCCAGCGGTTGTCACACACTAGCTCTTCAGATTTGTAGTGTGTAGTGCTTGAAGTCGGCTCTATCCTGTATGCGTTGGGTTCGATGCCTTCAGCACAGTCTGTTCAGTGCCCAACTGCTGCCAGAATACAGGCAGTGTCGCAGCTCCACTCAGCATCTTCATCATGTCACAGTTCTCAGGGCAGGAGTTTCCTAGAGGAGATACAGACTAGGACACTTTCCCCTTTAATAGGTGGTATTTTACAGCCTTCACAGGGTTGTTGCCTCTAATGTCCCATCATATCCTGCAGCTCTGATGCTTTAAAATCACAAGACACTGTGATCCCTTGCAATTTGGCTGCACTGGTCCAGTGAGCCACTGCTCTTGACACAGGCCTCCCCTTCATGCTCTCTGGCTCTGAGCTGGGGCCTCATCAGGCCCCAGGTGTTTAGATGTCCCGTTTGCAGATCCCAGTCTGCTTCTCATACCGATGCCTTCACAGCCAGAGGATGGACCTCTCATCTGACCTCCTTGCCACCACCAGCAGTTTGCAATGCAGGCGGCCATCACAGCACATCAGTGCTCCAGGTTCTTGGCTCAATCCACAGCATGGCTGCAATCACGACCTCCAGCCACCTTAGCAGCTTCAAGATCACGTTCCAGCTGCCTAATTCACTGGCACTGTGTCAGCAACACCTTGCCCTGGGTGTGGAACACACCTAGGTAGAGCCACCCGGGATCCCCTGCTGCCTTTCACTCCATCAGCCCTCCCAATTCCAACCAGAGCTTGGACAGCAGTTCCACTAGCCGCTCAGGGGATACCCTGGGATCACTCTAGCTCCCTCATGCTGTGGGGACAATCCACCCCACAGCTTGGG